ATGGCAAGTTAAGAAGGTGGTTGGGTTGAAGCTCGCTAGGATGTTGCGTCGGGCTTGGGAATTCCAACGAGACATTTATGCAAGCGCTTGCGGGGCATTAAGTTGTTTTTCTTGTGTCGACGCATGGGATCCCCGTGGAATCGTTGAGCCTCCGTCCCGATGATATCTCCACGAGTCGAGGCCCGGCCATCGGATTTTCGAGCCGAGTGGCAAATGCGTGTGTGCACAGGTGGCCGGTCCGATGCCCCATTCGGACGTAGCGACGGGCTTGGGGATTCCAAGGAGAGCTTTTACGCTAGTGCTTGTATAACATTACATTGCTGTGCTTGTGTCGAAGCATGCGCTCTCCCTGCAATCCCTCACCCTTAGCCTCGATCGTTCCCCGACGACCGAGGCTCGGTCATCGGCATTTCGTGCCGAGTGTCAAAGGTGGGTGCGCGGTGGTCGCTCCGATTCCAGTCATGATGTAGCGATGGGCTTGGGGATTCCAACAAGAGCTTTAGGCTAGCACTTGCATGGCATTGAGTTGCTATGCTTGCGCTAATGCGTGCGCTCTTCGTGCAATCACCAAGGCCTTCATTGCGATCGTATCCTCATGGCCAAGGCCTATGCATTGTCGTTTTGAGTTGAGTTACGAAGGTGGGTGCGCGAGTGGCCCGTCCGACGCTCGTTGGGACGTAGCAACCGGCTTGGGGATTCCAATGAGAGCTTTACGCTAGCGCTTCCATGGCATTGAGTTGTTGTGCTTGTGTCGATGTGTGTGCTCTCTGCGTAATGCCCAAGTCCTTCATTGTGATCGTAGCTCGATAGCCAAGGCCCGGGCATTGGCATTTCAAGCGGAGTGGCAAAGGTGGTCGCGTAGGTGTCTAGTCCGATGCCGGCCCAGCTGGGACGTAGCGATGGGCTTGGGGATTCCAATGAGAGCTTAACGCAAGCGCTTGCATGGCATTAAGTTACCGTGCTTGTGCTCGATGCATGTGATCTCTTGCGCAATCCCTTGGCTCGTGTCGTGATCATATCCCGACGACTAAGGCTTGGGCTTTGGCATCCTAGCCATGGCAGGTGTCCCTTTTATCAAATGTCTCCATCTCGTCCCTTCCAGCTTTATAGACTATCCCTTTGAAATCTTTCACGTCCGGCGGAGCAGGCCGTGATCTTGCTTGAGTGTTTCCATTTTGCTCTTTTGGGACATGGTTCGCTCTTTGGGATCAATGTCATGTGTACGTGGTGGTGCATGAGCGGTCGTTGGGCCGTTTATGTTGGCGGGCTCTGTGCTAGTGCACCGAACCGTTGGCCTGCGGTCCCTGTCATATCCGGCCCAAGAGCCCGTAGGGCCTCTACGATGATGAGGGGCTCCTGTGTCCGTAACCTTTATGGTGGAATTAGAATTTGACGTTGTCCCTCTCTCTTTGTGCCTCCTCTAAGTGTGCACGACGGATCTTTCGTTGCGGCCCTTGTGTCCGGTCAAGCGAACTTTCATCGAATTGGCCCACTCGCGATCGCTCGTGCTTTCGGATGCGAAATTTGTTCCTTGTGCGGGGTTCTCCAGCCCTACAATAGCCCCGTTCGAGTGATCTTTACTCGATAAGAATGACCTCTCGCACTCGACTTGTCCCCTCGTCTCTTTGACGTTGGGGATTGTTCGGGTTGCGGTGTCACAAAGGAATTCTACCCGGTTGATCCCGCCGATAGTCATATGCTTGTCTCAAAGATTAAGCCATGCATGTGTAAGTATGAACTAATTCGGACTATGAAGCTGCGAATGGCTCATTAAATCGATTATAGTTTGTTTGATGGTATTTGCTACTTGGATAATTATAGTAATTCTAGAGCTAATACGTACAACAAACCTCAACTTCCGGAAGGGATGCATTTATTAGATAAAAGGTCGACGCGAGCTCTTCTCGTTGCTACGATGATTCATGATAACTCGACGAATCGCATGGCCATTGTATCGGCGACGCATCATTCAAATTTTTTCCTTATCAACTTTCGATGGTAGGATAGAGGCCTACCTTGGTGGTGACGGGTGATAGAGAATTAGGATTTGATTTCGGAGAGGGAGCCTAAGAAACGGCTACCTCATCCAAGGAAGGTTGCGGGCGTGCAAATTACCCAATCCCGACATGGGGAGGTAATGACAATAAATAACAATATCGGGCTCTTCGAGTCCGGTAATTGGAATGAGTACAATCTAAATCCCTTAACGAGGATCCATTGGAGGGCAAGTCCGGTGCCGGCGGCCGCGATAATTCCAGCTCCAATAGCGTATATTTAAGTTGTTGTAGTTAAAAAACTCATAGTTGGACTTTGGGTTAGGTCGGCCGGTCCGCCTCGGGTGTGCATTGATCACCTCGTCCCTTCTATCGAGGATGTGCTCCTGGCCTTAACCGGCCGGGTTGTGCCTCCGGTGTTGTTACTTTGAAGAAATTAGAGTGCTCAAAGCAAGCCTACGCTCCGGATACATTAGCATGGGATAACATCATAGGATTTCGAGCCTATTGTGTTGGCTTTCGGGATCGGAGTAATGATTAACAATGACGATCGGGGGCATTCGTATTTCATAGTCGGAGGTGAAATTCTTGGATTTATGAAAGACGAACAATTACAAAAGCATTTTCCAAAGATGTTTTCATTAATCAAGAACGAAAGTTAGGGGCTCGAAGATGATCGGATACCGTCCTAGTCTCAACCATAAACAATGCCGATCAGGGATTGGCGGATGTTGCTTCTAGGACTCCGCCAGCACCTTATGAGAAATGAAAGTTTTTGGGTTATGGGGGAGTATGGTCGCAAGGCTGAAACTTAAAGGAATTGACGGAAGGGCACCACCGGGAGTGGAGCTCGCGGCTTAATTTGACTCAACACGGGAAACTTACCGAGTCCAGACATAGTAAGGATTGACGGACCGAGAGCTCTTTTTTTATTTATTTAAATGTAAGTATATAAATCAAAAGTGAAACTAGCTGGAGAACCAGCAAGAGTAACATATACGAGGATTTACAAAAATTAGGAACGAGGCTCCCAAGAAACCGAACCAAAGCTATATCTAGATGGTTGCTCAAGGAATCTATCTAGTAGAGATTCTAAGAAAAACGAAACAGGAAACATGTAGAAGCTAAGCTGGAACCATTTGCAAAAAGCTCCGCAGCATACGAAACTTTGCTAAAAAAGCATAAATGAGTAAAGCCTACCAATTTACATAAGCAACTTTAAATAGGACGGAAAACCAAAGTCGGCCGAGACAAGAACACATGGGCCGGCGGTAGCCAAGATCGGGAAGGGCAACAGAGTATCCCCTTATAGCACGACGGGACCGGGAACTTGCAGAAGTAGCAATGACAGCAAGGCTTGACCTCGCGACGAAGACCAAAAAATGAACCGGGAGACCTTAACGAGCTAACTAGGCTCGCCCAAGTAAGTGTTGGCGGGCGTGACCGAGTAGGGGAAGCAGACAGAACCAAAAGCAACCTCTCGGTTAGAGGCGGTCACCCAATCCGGAGCTACACTGGGTTGACGGTGAAGAGAGGCTAGGCTATAGGGCAGAAGCCAACGAAGACCGAGAGGAGGACCAGCCTCACTAGATCCCTATTGCGGCTGAAACGGAACCCGCGACCCGAGGGAGGCGAAGTAGAGACAAGTAGCCAAAAGCAATCGGGGAACCGAGTAGAGGTTAACCCAAATCAATCCAATCGGACAAAATAGAATCACTGAGCCCAACGAGGAGAGAACCCACATGGCGAAGCTCTCGGCGGCGGACGGATGCGGGATCAACCAAGCAAGAGCCAGCAAAGCGAGAAAACCATCGGTATAGGTAACAAAACCCACTCGCAATTTATAGAAGGAAGGTCCGGCCTACTAGTACGCAATCCCACCCATCAAAAGCTTTAAAGAACAACCCAAACAAAGGCGAGAAGCCGTTGGAACAAGACACTAGAGGCGAGAAACGAAAAGAGAGCGGAAACAAAATGGACCTAACCTCTCGAGAAGCGACGGACTACCAAACTAGAAATGACACGACCAAGGAGCGACTCACTTGTTTCACTCCTCCCGAATAAAATAAATGGTGATACTGAGGGTTACCCTCCTCATTCTAGCTTCAAGATTATTATGTCTACTAGATAGACCATGGAGAGCACTATAAAGAGTAGACCTACCTCTTCTAATTCGAAGCCGACTCTTAATTTTTAGCTAGAGGGCGACTGGCCAATCACGGGAAAAAAACAAATGACCATGCGACTCATTAGCTTGGCCACGGAGAAGGCGAGGCTTCGCTGGTAGGGAGAAATTGAAGACGGGCCTTAGTTTTTAAAGCACCTCGCGTAGCTAGCCATAGAATGAATGCATGCCTCGGCATGGACCGAGATTCCCAAACCACACGGCCCACCTCGTTGAGTTCATTTTTGGTCGGAGATGGGTATAAGCTATACGGGAGAAGTTTCCCCTTTAGAGTGCCACCGTGCTAGCTCATAAATAGTTGCCACTTAGAGCTCTTTCTTTTTTTTATTTAAAAGTAAGTATATAAATCAAAGAAAACCACTCGGAAAAAGAACCGAGTAAGAGTAGCATTTACGGGATGTACAAAAATTAGGAACGAGACTCCCAATGAAACAAAAATAATGAGTTAGCCCTAGATGGTTATTCAAGGAAACAAACAGTTGCGAGAGATTCCGAGAAAAACTAGATAGGGACCATGTGCTAGCTAACTGGAACCATTTACATAGGCTCTCCGACGATACAAAAAATTTGCTGATTAAGCACTAAATGAAAACAAACAATGTACAAAATAACGGCCATCAATTTACAGAGCCGGATGCTAGCTCGACGAAAACAATAAGGACCGATAGAAGCGATAACGCCAAGGTGTGCGGAGAGGCTATGAGTAGGAGGGCTCGCCTATCAACGAAGGCTGGACAAGTGATGAGATCGCATGACAAAAGAAGGAGAAACGGGAGCTAGCCTGGAGCGACGGCGCCGGGCTTGGCGAGAGCCAATGGGGATCAAAAATTTAGGCTAGACCCTGCAGCGGGACCGAAACGAGAACCAATAGGTGCCTGGCGAGCACAAACGCTAGATGCCCAAGCGACGAACTTACCCCGGGCCGAACCCCACCTCCTACCAACCGGACCCCTCCATCCTACCAAGAGCATAAACCGGTAAGTACCTAAGCCATGAGTAGGCCAACACAAAACAGGAATGTGAGGAAGTGCTTGGATAGCCCGGGAGGGGAGGCTAGGCCCGACCTCCACTAGAAGATAAATAAATAAGGGGCTGAACACAATAGTAGACCTGGCTCGATGAAGCCCAATCAGATTGAGAACCAGCGGCGGGTAGGCCATGGGGAGGCGGACACATCGAGTCCGCCAAGGCGAGGCCAACTAGAGGCAAAACAACGGAGGCATAACACCCAAACCCAAACCAACCGGAGAGCATAAAAAACTCTACAACCGGACCAATGACAAGAGCGCCCATTCAGCCTAACCAAACGAAGCCGAGCTCGAGGCACACGGCCCAACCAAACCGAAGCCCGAGCCCACCCATACAAGCAAGTAGGCCTGCGACCGGACCCGAATATGTCGAAAGGAACCTACCGGGCATGGAATAATATAACCCACAAGTAGAAGCAAGACCAAACAACTTTGACCAATCCGTGGTAGTAGCCGAGGAGTTGGCGGTGGTGAAACTCAACAGGATGAAACGAGCCTAAACAAAGGTGCAACCCTTGAATAGAACACGACCCCGGACCGGGAAAACCAACACGGCCCGAGAACCCGGAAGAGCAGCCGGACAACACATAAGAAGACCTAAATCCAGAGAACCAATCAGCGACAACCCGACCGAAGAAAACTGCGTAAACTCACCGAGGAAATCAAGGCTAGCCTACCGACAAGAGGAGGGGATCCGATTCATGAAAATATAATACCGTGTAGAAAATAATCTAGAATTTACGAAACACATTATCTACCAAGCTAGCCAAGGTATCAAAGGCACGCCTATTTCTTTCTTCCCGGATGACATAAATCGTGATATTAAGGGCCACTCTCCTCATTTTCGCTTCAAGGTTGTTACGATGACAGGAGAGACCTCCGATAGCACTAGTGAGCGTATGCATACCTTTACGAATTCTCAACCACTCGCTTAATTTTTGACCGGAGGTTAGTCGTCCAAGGGTAGCGAGAGGAATAAATGGTTAAGTGATTCGGAAGCTTGATCACAAAGAAGACATGCATCACCTGGTAGGTAGGAAATGGAGACGGTTCTTAGTTTTTAAGGCACCCCTAGCCGCAAGCCGGAGAATAAAGGAATGCCGTGGCATGGACCATGACTCCCAAATCACCCTACCCCAAGACACTTGGTGCCCCCGCGGCCTAAGCTTGTATATTCAATATTAGATAAACTTCCCTCTCCCGAGTTCCACCTAGCAAGCTCACATATGGCTGCATCTTTACTCTCATATTTCACAACAAGCAAGTTTTTCACATCGAGAATAGCTTTCCACAACGGTGAAGCATTGCGATGGGCGACAGCATCCCGGACTCGGCAATCTTGCAAATAGAAGTGGTGGATCCAACGAATCCAAATGGAGTCGACCTCGAGGTGAATGTCCCGAGCCTTTTAACCGGAAAACTTTGGTTTTTCACTTTGATGTCAAAGACTCCTAGGCCACCTTCGATTTAGGGGAGCGAGAGGCTTTTCCAAGCCACCAAAGCCGAAGAGCTCCTATTGACATCTCCCGTCCCTAAAAATTCCGACACATACCGGTGATACGTGCAATAACTATAGCAGGCATAGGAAAAATAGCAAGCTAGAATTGTATCATGCTGAAGAGGACGGACTCGAGGAGTTCTAGCCTACCCGCATAGGATAGATGTTTTCCCATCTAGCTCCGAATCGCGGATTCAAGACTATGTAGTAAAGGGGCACATTGGCTAGCAAGCAAGTGATGAGGGCTTAGAGGGACCCCCAAGTATTTGAAGGGGAAAGAACCCTCACAGAACCCGGTTTCATGAAGGATGGAGTTTTTCAAGTCACTTCCCACCCCACCGAAGAAGATCGAGGACTTGGCCACATTAATGGCTAGGTCGGATACACTCCTAAAGATTGACAGTGGCTGGACGGAATCTCGATAGAGGCAACATCTCCACGGCAAAGCAACAAGACATCATACGCAAATGCTAGATGGGTAATGGCATGGTTTCCACATTGACGGTGGAAGCGAAAGATAGAATTCCTTGTAGCAACTCGCGAGTAAGCGAGAGAAGTATTCCATGTAGACCACAAATAGGTAGGGAGAGAGGGGTCACCTTGCCTAACACCCTTTTTTCCTAGGAAGAACCCAAACGAGCCCTCGTTTATCGAAATGGAGTAGGAAGCCGATTCAACACATGTCATAATCCAACCAACAAATCTATCCAGGAAGCCTAATTGTAATAGAAGTTGTTTTAGGAAACCCCATCGCACGAGTCAAAGGCCTTATGGAAATCAATCTTCATTAGGCACCTTGGAGAAGATCGCTTCCGTCCATACATTCGAAGCAACTCCTAAACCACGCAAATATTGTCCGACATTTTTTGGCCCCCAAGTAGGCATTCCGTATAGGACTAACTATATCCATCGAGCCAAGGATAGCCGGGAGGACATGATCTTGGTAATCACCTTGTAAACAACATTATAGCAAGAGATTGGTCTATAGTCACTTGGCAAGGTAGCATTGGCCTTTTTGGGACCAAAGCTACAACAGAGTGGATAACTTGTTTGAGGAGCTTCCTAGATACAAAAACTCTTTAATCGCTGCACAAAAGTCTCTCCTAACAATTTCCCAAGCCTTTTTGAAGAAGAAGGAAGAGTATCCATCGCGGCTCGGTGCTTTATCATTGTCTATGTTGAACGGTGTCTTCCGGATGAGATCCACCATGACCAAGGAGAGAAGCCAGTCATGGCCGGTCGTTTGTAATCGAGGCCCACTAGCAACAATGTGCGAGTCAATGGGCTCCGTATCTTTAGTGGTACCGAAAAGGTTTTGATAATAGGAAACAAACTCCTCTCCTACTTCGCAATAGAGGTAGTGAGCTACCCATCTCCCCGTTTAAGTGCGAGCAATATGATTGGCTTTGTGCTTCGATTCATAAGGTGATGAAAGAAACTAGTGCCTTTGTCGCAATTCTTAAGGAACTTGCACTTTAATTTCCGATGAAAGAACATCTTTTTTTAGGCTTTGAGATTAACCGGATGGAGCTAGAGCCTCTTTTCATTCGACAAAGCTCTAAATTATCTTTATCTAAGTGGAGCTCAATCCGTAGTGCGGCCAAGTCGGATTCGACCTTGACCACCCTTTGGGAGATGTGGTTGAAATGGAGTGTGTTTAGTTTCTTGGGTGGTTCCTTAAGAGATTTCAATTTGCGACAAAGGACACACATTAGGGTGCCACTAATTCTAGCTTCCCAACAATCGGCCACGAGTTCTCCAAAAATCAACGTGCGCAACCCACATATTGAAGAATTTGAAGCTTCGAGTCCCAAAATGAACACGGGAGCCCAAGTGTACCATAACTGGAGAATGATCCGAAAAAGCGCCGGGAGGGCCAAAATGAACATGAGCGAGGCTACTCGGTGGAGGAACAAAAAGGGTTAGCCGTAACTCTATCGATTTTTGTCCATACATCTACCCCATTCCAAGTAAAATGGCTCCCCGTATAGTTAAGGTCCGTTAGCCCAAGATCCGAGCAACAACTTCTAAAGTCAACGGTTTTGTAGTTGGAGACAGTAGCACCCTTATGTTTATCGGGCTATGAAAGAATTGAGTTAAAGTCCCCCAAAATAATCCAAAGGCGGTTCGAGTCGCCACCGACGAAGATCGGCCCACAACCCTCTTCTAGCTATGATGGAGTGTAACCCGTAAACAAAAGTGGCATTAAAGGACAGCTGCTGCACAAGGTCGATGATCCTAACGTTGAGACCTTGAATAGAAACATTAAACATATCATCTATGACGGTGCTTGAATTCTAGAAAACTACAATGTGGACATTTTCTCGCTACTATAGCATTGGACATAATGCTCCATTGCTTGAGTTTAAGCCGATGCATATTGACAAGCGTAGCGAAGCCGAGTTTTGTTTCAACGAAGGCACACACATCAACCTTCTTTTTCTTTATGAGACCCACTACCTCATGTTGTTTTAGAGGACTATTAAGTCCTCCGATATTCTAGCTATAGATAATCATGGACAAGCGGAAGAGGCCGAGCCCTTTCGACCCCTGTTTCGCCCTTTATTACCACTCTGCTGGCAACCTACCTAGGTGAAGTGGCTGCGGCGATCTGCTCTTCTTGTCCGGTCGGGGGTCCAAACTAGTGTCCCCGAGGGAAGCTGGAACATTAAGGCATTCGGCTTCCTTATCGTGGACGGACCTCGTGATGGGAGGCCCGGACTTGCCACTATCTTATCTATCGGGAGAGCCATTCCTATAAGTAACCCGAATCGACCCGCCCCCGGCACGATGGCCCTGCTTGTCCGGCTTGGTCAACAATGTGGCTACTCGGCCCACTCGTGTCCCCTGTTGCTACAACTTGCCAACCCAAGCCGAAGCTCAATCGGCTCGGTGTTAGAAGGGGACGCTGGACCTATGGCAGAATCAACCATAACATGTTTACCTTTATCGATAGCTCTGCAAGAGTGTGTTTTGCACTTAACTCGTCTCCCATTCAATAGCCTCCGGTAGCATGGGGTCGGGAGGTGAGTGGATTGTGGCTAGGCGCACCTTGGTAGAATCACCCAGCCGCTGGAAAACACTAGTTACGCCCTGCTTGCCAACGAGCTTCACTGCCATTGGTGGGTTCCTTACTCAAATTCGAAGGATCGTAATTTTTACATGCAGCTATGGAATGCCCATATATGTTAATTTTTGCAATGAACGAGTAGAGTGTCATAAACCACTCGGTTGCAAGAGGGTGGTATTATTCGGTAATAGGATGCCGACCATCGGGGGAGAGTTTCCATAATATTTAGTTCCACAAGGACTCGAGCATAGGAAAGTCTATCCATGGAGGTAGTTAAACAGATCACATTGGAGAGGTTTACCTAGCAAACTAGCAATCTTCGACAAACACATAGTGGACCAACATTTGAGTGGCAGATTGGGGAGCTTGACCCAAACGAGGACGAGTAGCCATCTTGGAGGTGGAAAAATCAAAGTATTCGACATTGGTCGCAAAATCAAAGCTCGCCCATAAACCAAATACGGTCCCCTATTAAGCACCAAAACCATATCTTCCTTTTATTTGAATTTATAAATAAGCCGACTAGATTCATGTACTCGTTAAAGAAGCCTCACAATGCCAAGTATCCTTGATAATTCCATTTAGGGCTTTAAATCCTAGATATTTACCAGCAACATATCCCACAAGGCATAATTTCCATAACTCACATTTGGTATCGGCGAGTTTGCAAAGTACATTGTTTGGATTCGGTGATAGTTGAAAAATGTGATAGTTTAGGGCATAAGTCCGAGTTACGATTACTTATAAACAAATCCCACCACTTGCACTGCCGGGGAGGAATTGACCCAGCTGCTCTCGTTGTGGATTCGTCATAAGTCGGAGGCCCATGGATAGCCGCTGCTTGTAACTAGCAATGGAGAAGGGGCCGGCCGACATTTGCAAAGAAATTAGGGTCGGGGCGTTATGGAGGATGGCAATGCAGCTGGGTGGCGGTAGCGATTTGGCAAGTGTCGGTAGCTTCCCCGAAACCAAAAGAGGAGAAGCGGTTCTAGGGAGTAGAGATGGGGACACGTGCTCGGCT